TGCGATGTCTCGGTTTCAACATCTACTTGCTGTCTGCAGCTATGTATTTGCATTTTGGATACAATACTGCACATACGCCATCTTGCATGCACGACCTCAGTAACTATAGAATTGTCATCAAGAGAAAAATGGCAAGACGCTGGATGTGAACAAGTGGCTAACAACGCCATAAACAGCCGCAAGAGAATTAACGTATAAGCTATTACAAACAATTAAAGGGTTGTCAATGCCTGGGCATTCAGAAATATAGTGACGCCAAAGCATGACTCTCTTGCCTCGAAAAGGAATTCCTAATGCTATCGGCGCCAAATAACACAGAATCTCCTATGCAAACATATAATTCTCGTACGCGAAAACAGCTTGTGATATTCAATAATAGAAAACAGCTCGATATTCTCAAAATAGAAGTTCTCATTCACAAAAATAGCCTGAATGTTTCAATTTGTGCTCCTCGCGTTGCAACGGGGAGGCCCACAACGGCGTTCCCAAACCCAGCCTTGTCTGGGCTCAAATTAGATGCAGCCCAGCCAGACTAAAAATGATAGCCTTGTCTGAACCACAAAGCCCAGCCTTGTCTGAACTAACAATTTGTGTTTGAGCGTCAAACAATGCACTTCGAATGCCTCATAACCAGTGGACCCAGACAGCGGCTAAGCGCATAATAGCGCCGGCTCCGGAGTGTGAGGTGCAAATTCCGGGCGCGCGACATTTTGCACCCCTCGGCTACCCCCAACGCTGACGCCACATGACGCCATTTGACGTTGGCCCCTGCCAATCACGTGTTTTGACTTTTCGTTGCGCCACACCATCGACACGCTGATGATCACAGAGCAGGCACATGGCTTCCGGGCTTCAGAACAGTGCCAGCGATACTCTAAACTAGCGACAGCAATGTTTCCCGAGTCAAAAAAAAAAATGGCCAGTCCAGATATGGCAACCAGTGGCGAGAACGGACAGCGCTGCCAAGCACGGCGCAGGTGTGGACACACACCTCATTAGAAGGAGCAGCCTAAAATCAAGGCGTTTCTCACGGGCGCCAGGCGATTCTGGGGAAGCAAACAAAAAGGCTAAAATTAGGCTTAAGGTTGTGGCCGGGCCATCTTATCGCATGCTCGTCTGGGGCCATCAGCAGTGCCGCACGCGCGTGCGGGATAAGCCCCCAACCACGCGGATTTTACTCGGATTTAGCGGGCACTTATATGCATACCTCAAGACACAGGGGCACAGACTGTATGTCTCGGGGAGAGGGCACAGTAAGGAGAAGACAAACACCAGCATTTGAGATGGCCGTAAAGCTGCTTGGGCTTGGCAGCAACAAAGCGTATTGACCAAATCAGCCTCCAGCGCCATGCACACTCTGCAAATCTTATCGGATTTGGAAGAGCCTGTGATGTATGTGCAGGCAATGAGAATGAGTTGTCGTCCGATTGGTCAGCGCCAAATTACGGCGCCACATGGCATGCGAAAGCTGCAAAAGCCCAGGGCGCAGGGCCACCCCCGCGACATGCCCAGCTAATCAATGCACGCGACATGACACCGCCAATAAAAACCCGCGACATGACACCGCCAATAAACACCCGCGACATGACACCGCCAATAAACACCCACGAGATGACCCAAGAACCAAATTCCTGCCCGCTACGCGATCAGAAAAGACGGTCTCCGCCGCAAAAAGACACATCCATTGGGGCAGGAGATTGTCGCATGCGCGCGCCCAAGGGGCTCGCCGTTTCAGGCCTGGTTGGGGTCGTAAAGTCGGCAGGCGCGCGTAAACCAGATCCCGGCCCGTGCGCTTTGTCCCGCGGCGCCCGGAAAATGTCGACCTCCCGCTTTAATGAAGAAAAAAAAAACGCCTTATACGGGCACGCCGAACTATAAGCACGCCGAACGATAAAAGCGCCGAACTCCAAACACTGCGGTTTCTCAACACACACAACAGCATGCCGCAATCTTGCTCCGCCGGGGCCTGGCCGCGGAGCTGTGGCGGGGTGGAATGTCGCGCGCACGTGACTACCCCGTGTTTGTTTTCGACCAGGTTCCATTCGCCGCATCTCCTTTATCGGCCGCTGGCCGTGTGCAGGCGCGCCGGCCCCGCAGTCATGCCTCAAGCAATTTTCTGCTGGTCCAGCGTGCCGTGCACTAATAAACCCAAGTGGCCGTTGCCCACGACCCTGTTTTTGGATGCATGTCGGCCGGCTGGACATGCCGCAGGCAGCGCTCCTCATGATCCCCTCGCTCCATAGATCCCCTCGCTGCCAATGTCGCTTTTCTGTCTTGTTTGGGCATGCGCAGGCTTGGGGCAGAGGTCATACGTAGTCACCCGATCCCACGAGCCGCGCCTGAACAGGCCGTCTCCTCGATTTGTGCGCCAGGTGTCACCTTTTGTTTTTCCCCCCTAAAACAAACGTACCCCGCCACAACACGACGTGTGCCGAATTTTCGAGCCGTTCGTAAAACCAGCCGGCCTGTGCTCTCCTAACCGGTGCCTTTTTAAAACACCCTCCTGTATTTGCTGGTATTTGTGGGGCCCCTACAGCACAAACGTGATCCTGGCTTTTCCCGCCGGCTTTCGCAAATCCCAGATAGTCGCGCCCGCTTTATCGGCAACTCCTGTTGAAATAGCAGGCCCCGTCCATTTCCAGCCACTCTCACGCACTGACTTTCATTTGCCAATTCCAAAAAAAAAAAAAAAAGAATTCGTGACCACGGACTCCCATATTTGCACGCAATCCCTTGCCCTCACCCCCGTCATTCCTAGCACCGGCCTCCGCTCCCCACCGGTCACATATTCCTCCATTTCCGCCTGTGTCCCCGACTGTTTCTGCCCCCACCCCGAGTCTCCCCAGGGCCCACCGTCGCTCCCGATCCACTTTCCGCCCTCCCACCAGGCCACATCCCCAACGAAACCATGACCTTTCTCCATCACAGCCCACAGCCCGAGGCGGCCAGCGACGCCCAATCCGGCGCCACATCTCCGGGCGCCACCGGCCTGGGCAAACGGCGCATGTCCTTGTTCTCGTTCGGCCTCGGCTCGTCCAACCTGAGCCCGGCGCCGTCCAAACACGCCAGCTTGGCTGCCATCTCCACGTCGCCCTCCAGCCTGCTGGCGCCCCAGTCCGCCAACAAACTGCCTCAGATGCGGTCGCCCAGCACATCGCTTGCGGCCAGGCCCAACCAGCCGGCTCTGCCAGGCATCTCGCCGGTGCTGGAAACAGACAGCCTCTCGGAGAACCCCGACTCGCACATCTTCGAGCGCTCGGTCCAGGACATGGCCGGCCTGGTGAAGCAGGAGGACTACATCCCGCCCGCGTTGGACGCCACCGCGGAGATCTTGTCCGACCTGGCCACGGACTTGGACAACGTCGAAATGGTCTATGCGCTGAGAAGAAACTCGTCCGTCATCGGCTTGAACATGGCTTTGGGCCGGCCCTACACGCCGCTGCGCAAGAACAGCGTGTACCTGGCCCTGCACTTGAACGGCAACAACTTCCACGCGGCGTCGCTGTCGTCCTTGACCCACCTGCAACCACAGCCGTTCCAGTCTGCGTCACAGCCTGCGTCGGCGCAACAAGCCCAGTCGCCCGTGTCCCCACCAAAATTGATGAGCTCGCGCCTGTCGGTGTCCTTCTACTCCTACGCGGACATGATCAACAATGACGAGTTTTCCCGCCGCCCCTCGCTCATGCACGCATATAGTCACGGAGTGGTCCCATCGTTAGGACGCAAATTGAGTGTCGCCTCCAACCACTCCACCCTCTCGACCAGCAACGCCGGAAACCGTGAGCGCAGCGGTAGCGAGTTCAGCAAGTTCCCCAGAAAGTCGTCTCAGCCAGCGGGCTCGCCTCCCGATCCCCAGTCACAGTTGTCAAAGCACCTTAAGGACCGTCTGAAGCTGATGCAGTCCATGCCCAAGATGTTCGACGAGGCGCGGGAGCTGTCTGGCGGGACCTCTTCCAAAAAATTACTCATAAGCCCCGAATCCTCGGACTCGGAGGATCAAGAGGAAGCCTTCCACCCAGCTTCTTCGATGGGACGCAAACCACTCTCCAGAAGAAAGTCTGTCGCGTCCAACACCTCCTTCGCTAATTCAGTGGTGGACAATGACAGCTTTGTGTCGAGCTCCGTCGGAGACTGCATCAGAAGGTGCACCACGGAAATCGAAAATAATTGATTGCGGAGGAACTAAAGAAGATGCCTTCTCAAAGCCAATCACTCGGGCGTGCGTAAAGGAGTAGAAGCAACATAAGCAGCCCATTGCGGTCCAGACTCGCCAGGGAAGAGCGAATCTGCCGTGTAGACAAATACCGGGTTGCAACTGCTAGGGCACAGGGATCTAGGAAGTGCTCGAGTATCATAATTTTTAAGTCTGTTGTATTTTATATTTAGTTACGTTTCGAGACCCGACCGTAAGAATTTCCACGCCGCGGAGCTCCAAAACTTGAAAAGAACTGAACCCATTATTCTGCCAAGTAATTCTTCCGGTTGGCTGTCCTGATGAATCTCTTCACCTTCCACTCAACGTCGGCGTCCTTGTTGTCAAGCAAGCCCAAGCGCAATTCGAAAAGACGCATTTCAAAACGAGGGCCCACTTCACTGAGCTCGACCCCGTCTTTTGTCTGGATGTACACGTGATGTCTGACACTAATGAAGTCTTCGTTGTTGATGAAGGTGATCACTCGGGAGCTGTCCTTCTTGGCACCCGGGGGAAACAAATGTTTGAGGATCTTGACCACACGCTGACCCAAGGCCGTGGAGAAATTCTCGAAGATCAAGTGCGGGTACACCTCGGAGATATTGCCCATGTTGGGAAGATCGTGTCTTAATTTGACGTTGTGCAATGTGAAGATGGCGGTAGGTCCGTGGGGGAAATGTGACACAGTCAACGAGGTGGGCACACCTCTGTGTTCGTGGAGCACAATCAAGTCGTTGATGGCGGCTTTGGCACATGACTTGACGAGCTCGGGAATCACATAGTTACCTCTATTTAGCTTCAACGAGTTGGGGAACATCAACTTGATTTCCTTCGAGAACTGTAGCAATCTGACGGACGGGTTGCGCGATGTGGTAACAATGATGCGGGGGTCGCTTATTCCCGAAAGGGCCAGGTACTCGTCGTCAATGTCCACCTGCTCGCTTTCGTCATAACGGAAATCTTTGTGGAGCTCGGTGTCCTCGCTGAGTTCCTTCGAGAGGGCCTTTCCGGAGGCCAATGCGGCCTTCAACTTCTGTCTCTTCTCGATCTGGGCGGTTTCCTGCAACTCCAACGCCTTTTTGTACAAATACTCTCTTCTCTCTCTTGCCTGTCTGCGGATCATCTTAGCCGGGGTGTGGGGGATCTGGTGGGTGTGGAGAATGATATATCAGCCAGCCCATGCATGGCTTTTTTTTCGCTCCCAGAATCTCGAGATGCTCTTCGGGCGCGGAATGTGCAGGACGCGGCCCCGAGCCCACGAGTTAGCAGTGCGCCGTGATGGACACGGCTGGTGGGGTCTTTGGTGCCGAGTAAAATAACATGCCAAGGGTCCGTGAGGTTGGAGACAAGCAGGTCATTTTTATTTCTTGTGGTCGCATAGATGAGAGAGTGAAAAGGGACACCTTCAAGTCAGAGGCCATAGTAGATATATGGACCATAGACTTGAAGACTCCTGCATGACTGCATGACTCCATGACTCCATGAATCCATAGACGTTGACTTGCGACAATTCATAGTCCAAAGACTTGGCCTCTATGGCATTTGCAAGCTGCATGACTCCATGAATTCTTAAGCTCCATGACTGCATGGCTCCTTAGACTCCATGACTTCATGACTCCTTAGGCTTTATAGTAGACCCATAAAACTGCATCAGCAGTATCCATAGTGATCCCCACTAAATCCCTTCGAGACGCCCAAGACCGATCTCCGCACATTCCGGATTCTCTACTGCCCACGACTAAAGCTGCGCATCTCATGGAGCTCCTCTGGAAGTTTTGT